AAATGCACGTATTGGAAAAATGGTTATACTTCCATCTACATTTATTGGATCACCTCGTAATATGTTACAAAACTATCAAGATTCAATGGCAATTGTTAATAAATTTGGTAAACCAGATCTTTTTATTACAATGACTTGCAATCCAAAATGGCGTGAAATCGAAGAAAATCTTTTACATGGTCAACAGGCTTCTGATAGACCTGATATTTGTGCACGTGTTTTTAATATTAAAAAGGATTATTTAATTAATTTGATTGTTAAACAAAAATTTTTTGGAGAGATAGCAGCCTTTGTATATGTTATTGAATTTCAAAAACGTGGTTTGCCACATGTTCACATATTAGTTACTCTAAAGTATAATTTTAAAATAACAACTCCACAAATTGTTGATAAATTTATTTCTGCTGAAATTCCTGATCCATGTAAAAATCGTATTTTACATGATATAGTTATGAGGCACATGATTCATGGACCTTGTGGCGATTGGTGTTTAATAAATGGAAAATGTTCGAAACATTATCCCAAATCGTATCTTGAGGAAACTAGAATGGACGAAGATGCTTATCCTTATTATCGTCGACGAAATAATAGCAAAAGTTTTGAACGCCCTGGTGGATATGTAATTGATAATCGTTACGTAGTTCCGTATTGTCCAATTTTATCGATTATTTTTAATTCTCACATAAATGTTGAGGTAGTTTCAAGTATCAAATCGGTTAAATACCTATATAAGTATATTTACAAAGGACACGATGCCGCTACTATAACAATTGAACCAATGACAGATAATGTAATTATTGATCATGATGAGATACGTAATTTTATAGAAACTCGTTATGTTGGACCTGTAGAAGCTTGTTGGCGAATTCTCGAAAAGAAGCTTCAAGATAAAAGTCATACTATAGTTCGTTTACCAGTCCATCTTCCTAATGAACAAAATGTGATAACTGAAAATGAAACCATTGAGGATGCAATGATTTCAGCTTTAAATCAGGCTACAATGTTAATGGATTATTTTTCTTTAAATTCTCGTGATGAAGAAGCAAGACAATATTTATATGTACAAATTCCATGTTATTATACATTTAAAAAAGAGAAAATCAATGGAAGAAATGTATCACATTGGATTAAACGCAAAAGTCATTTTAATTGTATAGGACGAATGTATTCCGTTAGTCCAACACAAATAGAATTATTTCATTTACGACTTTTGTTACTCACTGTAAAAGGAGCTACGAGTTTTAATGATTTAAGAATTGTAAATGGAGAATTATGTCAATCGTTTTCAGCAGCATGCCTAGCTTTAGGTTTGATTGAAGATGATGATGAATGGATACGAGCTATGAAAGAAGCTGTTGAATGGATGATGCCCCGACAACTTCGTAAATTATTTGTACGTATATTATTACATTGTCAACCATTGCATCCTGAAGAACTCTGGGAAAATTTTAAAGTAGCAATGTCAGAAGATTATGTTCGACACTTTGGATTGTTAGAAGGCCAAAGGAAAGCATACACTCAAATTAATACTATGCTTTGTGCTGAAGGTAAAAGTATTACAGATTTTCCACAAATGGAACAGATGGAGCAATTGATACAGAACGATGAAGAGAATGATTATATGACACTTGAAGAAACTATGGAAGTTGGTACTAGACAATACGAACAGTTAAATAATAAACAAAAAGAAATAGTAGATTTTATATTAAACAGATTAGATACTAATAATCACAATAATAATTGCATTTATATTGATGGTCCAGGTGGTTCAGGTAAAACGTTTATATATACGACTATCTATCATTTAGTCAAAATTAGAAATAAACATATATGTACAATGGCTTTTACAGGCATTGCAGCGACTTTATTGCCAAGAGGAAAAACCGTTCATAAAACATTTGGATTGCCGGTTCCATTATTTAGTGATTCATCATCTAGCATTAAAATCCAATCCAAGGAAGCTCATTATTTGAAAGAAACAGATATTTTTATTTGGGATGAAGCACCAATGGCACCACGATATGCTTTAGAAATAATGGATCGAACGTTGCGTGATATCATGAATAATGATTTACCTTTTGGTGGAAAAATCATCGTGTTAGGTGGTGATTTCAGACAACTACTCCCTATTAAAATACATGGTACTCGAAGTGAAATCGTAAATCTTTCAATCAAATTTAGTTCTACTTGGAAACATTTTATAAATTTCTCTTTAACGGAAAATATGCGAGTTTTTCCAGAGGAAACTGAATTTGCAAAGTTTCTATTAGATATGGGAGATGGCGTATTAAATGATTCTAACGATAATATACAACTTCCTGATTGTTGTATTGCACCCATCAATGCCGATATTGTACAAGATATATATGGTGATTTAATACGAAATAAAGAATTTAATAAAATGGCAAAATGTGCAATACTTTCTGCAAGAAACGCCGATGTAGATGAAATTAATAAACAAGTTGTCGAATTATTAGATACATTTGAAGAACGAATTTATACAAGTATAGATAGTATTGAAAACTGCGGTGATAATGGTGACACTGAGGAAGCATTACTACCAGAATATTTAAATACTTTATCTCCGTCATGTCTTCCACCTTATGAATTGCGTTTAAAACCAAATTGTGTCATTATGTTGATTAGAAATCTCAGTATCAATGAAGGTCTTTGCAACGGTACTAGATTAATGATTATAGAACTTGCTGATCATTTATTGAAATGTAAAATCCTAACAGGTGATAAAATAGGAGATATTGTTTTTTTAAATCGTATAACGCTATATTGCGAAAATGTATATCCTTTTACTTTTAAAAGAAGACAATTTCCGATAAAATTAGCTTTTGCTATGACAATTAACAAATCACAAGGGCAAACATTTGATATAGTAGGAATAGATCTTCGCAAAGATGTTTTTAATCATGGACAACTTTATGTGGCCTTTTCACGAGTACGTACTTGGCAAGCGTTAAAAGTTTATCTTGGTAGTCAGCGTGACAATAAACAAATTAAAAATTATGTATATAAAGAAATATATGTATGATTTCTTTTCTCCTTTAAATTTTATATATATATATATATAGTTCTTGACATAATTATGTGATATGTTCGTATATATAATAATAAAATGAAAAAATATATAGAGCTAAAGAAATAATGGCGCGCGCGAAGCGCGCGCTTTGTGTTGTTCTAGTGATATAAAAAATACACAAATAATATTGATTAATAAAAAATATACAAAAGTGATTGATTGCGCCTTGCTTTTTTATTTTTTTCCTTTTATTAAACTTTAGAATAACACTGTGTATGTACACCAATTGCGATATATAATCAGGGCTGTGGGCATATATTTGAAATACTTTTATTTGAAAAACAGTATTGACGATTATATTTTGTATTTTGTGTTTGTTAGCCTGTACATGAAAATATTTTGTATTTTGTGTTTCAAATATTAACATTGATAATCAATCTTATTATTTGAATTACAAAATATAAAAAGCTTTCAATCTTTCGATTTTAAGTACAAAATATGCAATACTTTTACGTGATCCGCTGAAATAAAAAATACAAAATACGCTTGTACTGCAAATACTGTGTTTTAAATAAAAGTATTTCAAATTCATGCTCAGCTCTGAATATAATGTATTTTATACAATTATAATGTTGCAAAATCCAAATAATTTCATTTTTCCATCATTTGAGTTAAGATATAAAAAAAGATGACATCTCTCCTACAGCACAAAAGTTGCAGCAACAATGTTGTAACATTGTAATATTGCTGCAAGTTCGGTGCTGTATGGAATTTTTTGAGATATTATTTTATTCTCCCGTAGAAAATAATTAACAAAAAATAATAATTTTTTTGTTAATTTTTTCTATAGATAATTAAATATCACAAAAGTGTCATCTGTTATTCAAATAATGAAACAAATGGAGTTGTATCTGGTTTTGGCAATATCAGTATGGAGATTGTCCTAAAATTTGCGACTAAACATATTATAGCAAGAAAGCTTCTAAAAATGTAATAAAAAAGTAATTTGTATATTTTTATTTTAAGTAATAATTTCTGAGATATAACTATGTTTAAACTGTTATATCTCAGAAACTATTATTTAAAATAAAAATTAAAAAATTACTTTTTTATTTAAATTTTTTGAAGCTTTTTTGCTATAATATTTATAGTTGTGAATTTTAGGACATCCTGTATATGTTTTACAAACGTTACAAGTGGAACGTTGCGAATGAACATTTCTGTGGCTATATATATATTTTATATATTTTACAAACGTTTCGCGAACCTTACAAATGAAACGTTGTGAATGAACTTTTTAGTGAGGTTTTATTATATTTTTTACAAACGTTTCACAAATGTTGCATGTGGAACGTTATACACGAACTTTATAGTGACGTTATATGTATGTTTATCAAACGTTTCATAAACGTTACAAATAGAACGTTTCATACGAATAGTAAATGCGTGAGGACATTTCTGGTTGTGGCAACGTTTCATTTACGTCTCTGAAACGACACAAATAAGGTCGCATAGCTTAAGTGTAACGTTATTACAATGTTGCTGGAACGAAATTTTGTTTAGTGGGAAGCTTCGCAATCCTTAACATAACTCTCTATTTCTTTGTCAATTTTAGATCACCAAAAGTATTGCCTTGCTACTACTTTCATTTTTGTTATTCCTAAATGAGCTCCGTGTATCTCTTCTAATAGAGATTTTCTAAAATTGCACGGCACAATGAGAGACTCTATATCCCCACATAAGTAGTTCACTTTCAATGCTAATTTCTGCCTTATTCGCAAACTCTTTTACATCCTCGCTAGTTTCTTTCGGCCATCCATCCCTCGCATAAAAATATACTTTACTTAATGTCTTGTCTTTTCTTAATTCTTTTCTAATTTGTGCTGTATCTATGGGTGTATGTTCTGCTGTTATAAAATGAAAATAATCTTCAACTTCTACCACTTTAACTTTATCTATCCTAGGTAGCCTAGGCCCTAGATATGCCATCCGCTCCATCCTGGTTACTAGTGCCTTTAATATGCTCAAATCTAAAACCACTTAAAAACAAGGTCCATCTTTGTAGCCTGCCTGCAGCCATCTGTGGAATGCCTTTGTGCTCTCCAAACAAAGCAATTAACGGTTTATGATCTGAACACAAAATCATTAATAATAACAGTAAAATAAGGCTCCAATAATAAATATAATACAAATTTAATCGCCAATGTGAGCCAACACCAGATGTAATTCGTGAAATTATATATATCACAAAATATATTAACAAACGTTTCGACAATATAATTTTGTCCTCTTCAAGTGTCGCAAATAAAACGGATTAATAGTATAAATTTGTCAAATTAAAATAATCGAACGGAATTCAAATTAAATATCGTTATTAACAAGACTGTTCTCCACGTCTGTAGTATTTAGATTGATACTCAAATAATGATGGCAATCACTATAATAATAAAACAATAATGACATACATAATATCAAAATCGAGACTAGAAATATCAATTAACCTAAACTATAAAACTTACTTGAGAACAGGATAACGATATTCAAGAGCGTTGAAAAATGATCTGATCGTGTCAAAGTATAAAACGTAAATGAGAGGACAAGACATGCGAAAGACAAGAGAAAAACATTATTGTTGTAAATAACCTCTGAGATAAAGAAACAATATGTATACTTATATAATATCATAATATAAGGGGTCTAATAAATCTGTGTCGCTTTGTATATTGAGTCCATTATTTTGCTTCTTGACGTGAATAGCTTCAGAAATCAATCGTCTATTATAAACTCTTTCTTCATCCAATATTTCTATCTCATTCCAATTAAACTCATGATTAAAATTAAGTCCATGTTCTGTAATGACTGATTTTTGATCCGTAATTCTATTAATGTGATTGCGATGTTCACCAATTCTGGTCTTTAATAATCATTTCGTTTGTCCTACGTAGGACGCATTGCAATCTTTATAATTTATTTTGTAAACTACATTAGATCGCGATAACATTGGTAGTTTATCTTTTTGTTATCCTTATAAATTTACTCAATTTATTCAAGCCAACGTAAGCCAATCTGATAACACGATTATTCTTCAAAAACTTTCTGAACTTATCAGCAATCATCGGTACAAAGGGAATTGTGAAATATTGACACGTTCAGATCATTTTTCAACGCTCTTGAATATCGTTATCCTGTTCTCTCAAGTAAGTTTTATAGTTTAGGTTAATTAATATTTCTAGTCTCGATTTTGATATTATGTATATCATTATTGTTTTATTATTATAGTGATTGCCATCATTGTTTGAGTATCAATCTAAATACTACGGACGTGGAGAACAGTCTTGTTAATAACGATACTTAATTTGAATTCCGTTCGATTATTTTAATTTGACAAATTTATACTATTAATTCGTTTTATTTGCGACACTTGAAGAGGATAAAATTATATTGTCGAAACGTTTGTTAATATATTTTGTAATATATATAATTTCACGAATTACATCTGGTATTGGCTCACATTGGCGATTAAATTTGTATTATACAAAATCATTACCCATTAAGTACTGATAAAATTTATTCGCGGCCCAATAGATAGCTAATGCTTCCTTATGTATTACCAAGTAATTCTTTTCTGCTTCATGCAATATTCTGGACGCGAAAGCAACCGGTTTTTCTGTACCGTTCGGCAAAATGTGCAACAAAACCGCTCCGATACCTACCTCTGACACATCACAGACTAGTTTAAGCTTCCATTCTTCATTAAAATGTACTAGATACCTGTCTGAAACTAATTCGCTTTTAAACTAAAGTCAACAAAAATTGTAACAGTTTGAACAGACTCGACAATATATTGGGAGTAGATAGATTTATTTATATGACCTACACAACGATCAGTTGAATTTCAAATGAGCAATACTTAACTTGTCAGATTATTCTTCTCTAATGGATTTACATTGTAATTTCATAGACAGTATTTTAGATATATAGACATAAGTTGGCATAGGTTTTGATTTAATTTAATTTTATTTTATTACATGAACATTATAGTAATCAAAATATTTATTATATTTAAAATATCATATAATACAGAAAGATAATGAACTCTCAATGGTTGTGTGAGTCTTCGACAAGCTGAATTCTCGACGTCCACCGATGAATTTGGAGAAGTGCAAAAATGAGAAGTACTATCAGACAAATTGTGACCAAGAGCTATTCCTTTGAACTGTAATTTGACCTGTTTTAAGATTTTGACGAAATGTCCGTTAGGACTGATATCTGATCATTGTATGTGAATCTAATATTTACTAATACGATTATTAATTAATTGGTTGCAAGGTACACTGAAGAAGGCTTAGTAAGCCGAAACGTTACGTTTGTATATCATTGATCGACTTTTATGAGACTTTAATTGGGTTCAATTTTATATGTAATTTTGATTCTTATGTAAATTAAGTGATGAATTATTAAATATTATATAGCTCGAATTAAGCCTTGAATTCGCATCAAGAATTATTTTGTTAAAAACATACGAGCATTCAAATCATATAATTCAGGCTGAAAAAATACTGATTTTTTAAAATTAACTTTGAATCCTGCCTCTGAAAGGCGTTTAAATACTTCTCTTAAATTTTGCAAATGCTTTTCTTTATTTGCGCCCGTAATTATTTACAATATTATCTATGAAATTAATTACATTTTTTATATCTTGCAAGACCTTTTCCATAGTTCTTTGAAAAATTGAACAAGCTGGTTTGGTTCCAAAAGGTAATCTTTTGACCAAATAAATTCTCTTATGAGTACTCCATGCCAATAGTTTACTGGTTTCTTCCGAAACTTCCAACTGATTATACGCCGTGCGGTATAATTTAATGAAAAATTCTCCGCCGCTTAATGCCGCAAATAACTCCCCAATTCTTGGTAAAGGATGTTTAACGTCTTCGAGATATTTATTGACTGTTACCTTATAATCCGCACAAATTCTTAATCTACCGTCTTTTTTAATGATTGGCACTAATGACGTACCCCATACCGAGTTATCAACTAACTCAATTATTCCTTTTTTTTCTAATTCTTACAGCTGTTCACCTACTTTCTCCTTAAATGCTAAAGGTATTGGCCTAGGCTTGACAAAAATCGGATTTGCCTCTAGCGCTAACTTAAGGTCTATCTTTTCAAACTTATATTTACCTAGCTTATCCTTGAATAAATCCTTATACTCTTGCAATAATCCATCCAGACTAATGTTCTCTTTTAAAGAATACAAAGATGCTATCTCAATTTTCAAAAGTTTCATTAAATCTTTGCCCATTAAAATCCTACTTCCTTTTTTAACTGCAATTAAATAGACATTAATGATCGTCTCCTTATATTTAATTCTAAAAAAATTTGCCCTTCCAGAATTAAAATACTTCCATCGTACATTCTTAACCTTACTTTTGAGTTCTCTAATTTGCGCTGTCCAAATTTTTCTTTAAAAATTTTCTCCGGTGTTACTGACTTACTGCACCTGTATCTAATTCCATATTAATGGACTGACCTTCGATATCAACACTAATCATTAAAGGCTCCTCGCTGTCAACTACATTGCATAAATTATACATGTCCACAATCTCCGTATCGCCGTTTTTCGCTTCCGATTCTAAATTTGTACTAGATACCGCACTCTTATCGCTTTTACAAATTTTAACCAAATGCCCTACTTTATTACAAATTTTACACTTGTACGCCTTGTACTTGCACTTTGCGAAAACGTGTTTGCTGACCTCGCAATGTACACACTTCGGTTTCTCTAGGGATTCTTGATGCTGCCCCGCTGCTTTCTTCTTTTCTTGCCCCGCTCCTTTCCGATAAGCCCCCTTGGCTTTACCTTGTCTTATGCTGTGGATGTCAACCGTACCCACCTTGGATGATGTTGCCAAAGCTGCTTTTTTCTTCATAGGCACTTCCAAAACAGATTGAAGTATTGTCGTATAATCCTCTTCGCAGACTGTCCAGAATTGACGCTTTTCTCAATCCGGCTACGAACCTGTCTTTGAAGTAGTCATCCAGTTGTACACCAAACTTGCAATTGCTTGCCTTGCTCTTGATTTGCGCAAACCACTCATTTACAGATTCTTTTTCAGCTTGCTTCAAATCGTAAAATTCGATTCTCTCCTTGAAGATTGACACTCTAGGCGCAAATTGTTTCTTCAAAATCTCACATAATTCTTCATAAGACCTATTAGGGTCCTATTAGGGTTCAATACTGCTACTTTACGTTCTTGCGACACTTGATTAGGAACAATGTACTGTCCGAGATGTTCCTGGTAAAGATTTCAATCCTCACCTATGCGAAATTCTGTTAATGCCCCGATTGTAGAATAAAATGTGATGTTTGGCATTATTTGCTCTCTGCTTTCCTTGCATTGACTGACCTTGTCGCACCATCTGAATTTCACCTTTTTGCTTTTGCAACTGCTTTTGCGATTAACTGCAACTGCTCGTGCTACAACTAAGTTTTGAATTGCTCCTGTTCTTTTCTCCTACGATCAAATACTTGCTGCTGCTCATTTGTTCCTGAGCCTTCTGCAATTGCTGCTTTTCCTTATCAAAATCGTTCGGCATTTCTAACTTCTTAACTTACGGCCGCCTTGGTCGTTATGAAATTGCAATAGGCTTGTAACTTTAATCTTCGTCGCCAATATGAGATGATCCGGTGGAATAAATAACTTTCAGAAATTAACGTAAATGGAATGCTTATTAACTATAATATTTAGCAATATAAACGTGTACGCAGGAAAACAATAGTACGAAAAGTAACGAAAAATCTTGAATGAATAGGTTCTTGGAGAGAGTAAAACCAACGCACAAAACATACTACTAAGGCGCCATCTAACATAACTATATTATTAAAATAACTAGCGTCATATATCACACTTATTATTATTTAAAAAGTTTTTTAACAATAAAGGTGGTAATTATCTCCCTGATTTGCATAAAAAGTTAAATGATTCTGAGCAGGGAGAGGAGGTGGAATGGACCTCGTTTTGCGTGCGTCCTAGGCAGAGAGAGAGGTGGAATGGACCACCCTTTGCATGGAAAGTCGTACGCTCTTAAACCCGATCTACATAAAGTTCATTCTACATAAGACGCAGGACGCAGGTCGCAGGTGAAACGTATTTCAGATTGTAATAGGTCGCAGATCGCAATACGCAGGACGCTAAAGTTGAAGTTGATCCAACTTTCTGCGTCCTGCATTCTGCGTCCTACAATCATATCATAATTAAAATACGTTTGGTTAGTTTAGATTTTGCATATATATTTAGATTTTGCGACCTGCGACCCGTGTTCTGCGTTTTATGTAGAATGGACTTAAGACGCAGAACGCAGGTCGCAAGTCACAAAACTAGAAACTAACCTAACGTATTTTAATTATGATATGATTGTAGGACGCAGAACACAGAACGCAGAAAGTTAGGTGAACTTCAACTTTCGTGTTCTGCGTTTTGCGTCCTACGTATTGCAGTCTGTGACTTATTACAATCTGAAATAAATTTCACTTGCGACTTGCGATCTGCGTTCTGCGTCTTATGTAGATCGGACTTTAGGCCGAGGGTGAGGTGAAGTAGACCTCGCTTCGCGCGGAAAATCGTACGCCCTCAGGCACAGAAGTGAAGTAAACTTCCCTTCGCGTGGAAAGTTATACACCCTTAGGTAGTGGAAAAAATGTGAAAAGTTATTACGTAAGCAGGGAAGGCTGTGAACACGAAGTAAAAGAAAGGAGATCAAACTCAAGTGGCCGGTCTCAAAAAAATGCTGGGCTCGAAACACGATGTCGGAAAAGTGCTGTATGGAAGAACAAATTCGAGCGCTCCTGTCGGACGAAACTGTCAATTTAGAGGATTTGATAAATATTTTTCTTCCCATTTTCCTGTAATTCTGTAAAATTGTGTATTTTCATGCGTAGAATATATTTTCTGAGAAGAAAAATTGTCGTTCACAAGTTTTTATTCTTTTTTATTTCAAAGTTTTTTTATGTCGATAAGTTAAAAAACAATAATTTAATGATAATTTATGACTATGCATAAATGTATGTATTTTTCGATAAAATAAATCATTTTTCAATCAATTTATACAAATTGAAATTTCTGTATTAAAAATAAAACGTGCATACATGCGTATTCCGTAGGCGTTATCATGTGGTAGATACTTCAAACTTTTCCTGCAACGGCACTAAAATCGCATCGTCCTGATTTTCCATGAGTTTTCCGGTATCTTGTATCGAGCCCATTTTTATCCTCGAATTTGGTCTCCTTCTTTTGACTCGGTGGGTGTGAAATAGTCCTGAATATTGTATTTGGCAGAAATAAGACGTTACTTTTTCAATGCTTTTTTATTCAAAACATTTTGTGTACAGTAAAATGAATAACAAATGACGGCTGAAACTTGTTGGAAGTCACTCAGAGTCATGACTTTAACATAAGATAATCTGAGCTGACTTCCTTAATTTAAACATTTTTTAAACAAGTTGAAAAGATAAAACTTATTATAGACTTATCCTGTTGAGGAGAAATATGTATGTATCACGATATCACATATTTTACCATAATTAATGCAGAGTTAATTACAGTTACTAATTACCTCGTCAGTGTCTGGCCGCTTTCTCCTGCGCTTGCAAGCTCGCTATTGCTTTGCCTGTGCCATATAACACTTTTGCGCGAATCTGGACTCTCCTTGTGGTTGTACAGGTCACCCCAGACGATGAACTTCCAGTATTGCCACCCGCAGTCGTGCCTAACTGCAAAGTACCACTCGTATAATTCGCGCCTCTGCAACTCGTGCAACCCTCCGACATTGTGCTGCTGATATTTTGGCGCTATTGTCGAGTATTTTTCCTGAACAAATAGTAATCTCGCAATAATTGTAAATGGGAAACAATATTAATACGAATTTAAAAAATTATATCGGAGTTTTAGAAACTGATTACAATCACGGTTGTGAATATAAAGCTCGGATGAGTATAAGTCTTGTATTCTTATTATTTTAATTTAATGTTGAACTGTTATACAATTATGTTATTGAATTCAATTCAATTTTAAATTATACTATTAATACTTTCTTTTCATTTAATTTCATGTTAATTTACGTTTAGAATACTATTAACATTTATTTTTATTATTTTTCTGATATTAAGGGGATGCTAAACCGATTACCCAACTCAATCAAGGTCGATAGTACAGACTTTTTTAATTCCAAATTCGATAATAGTGGTGACATCTTTGATTTAGTTTTTACATTATATTATATTAATATATATCATTCCGTCTTATTCAAACGTATACATCTGTTCTTATCTAACATATGCCAGCACCATCTATCGCAAGACCGCGCAACTACTGCTACACAGAATTTCGGCTCTGTTGACAGTCCCAGTCTTCGCAAAGCACCTGTATACACGTATTTTCTATTCGGTGGAAATATTTCTTTTCTGGACTTTCAATCTTAGTTCTACAAACTCGGTATCGTTCGTTTCAATAATGTGACCTCAGCTGCACGCTTATTTTCAAGATATGGACTCTAAAACTCTTATATCAAGCAAATATATATCTGAGGTGACAGCTGTACGAGCCAAAAATAAGTAAATTTTTAACGAATCTGAAACTTTTTTTCGATTTTCTCACGAAATCCAGTGCAGCTGAGGTCCCGTTTGTGCGTACTTTAATTTAAGCAATAATACTTTTGCAATCCGTACATCCAATACAGAGATTTTTCACCGAATGGAAATGTGGTAAAACAGGAGGCTTTAGTATCGCCTTAATGGCTGTTCTAAATTCTACATTGTTTGCAATCGAATTCTTATAACGAATTTGCATAATATTTTTAATACATTAATGATGAATATATTGTGACAAATTAAAATAGTTGTTAGGGCCGGTTGTTTCTATCTTTGGATAAATTTTGTGATAATTTATCTAATATGTAAATAAAAGAATAAGAATGAAGAAAAAAAGAGAATAAGAGAGTGATTGAAGTTTCACGAAAAATGGAACATCTTATTCATGAAATTTATTAATCAAAGAACATCGGTTTTAAAAATATTGGGTTATGTTTCACATTATGTTGAAAAAAGTATTAGGCATATGCAAAAAAAAGTGCAGGGGCCAAGGACTAAATAGCAGTACCAAAGAAAAGCATAAAGCATATTTGATGACTATAATCGTTGTATCATGTCGCAACATCGCTGGACATGACCGTCAGTGTTAGTTTATGTATTAGTGTCGCGTCATGAATGTGTGTATGTATTCGAGCAATTCTCCGATAAAGATCATATATTTTCACGTCGTCCTAATTGTATCCATGTAACTTGTATTAGATACACGGTCTTTTACTACGTTTTGTAAAAATTTTAAATTTAAATTAATGTCTGTCTTCTTTGATTATTAATTGATTCCGATAATTCAATCAACGATGATATAAAATATCGCGACTTAAGGAGATAGGACACTTTGACCAATTTTAAAAATGAAGATTCTAAGGGTTTGGAAAAAGAATAAATGCGACATATTTATTATTTTTTTACTTTATTCATACATATATAATGTACTTATTACGTTTATTTATATGCAAATTTTATTAAAAAATATTAATCCTGCGATAAAATACGGTGATCCGCGTAAAATATGATTTTAAATTTTAAACTTCAATTTCGGTATGGCCTCCAACGAATAAATTCTTGAAACAAGGCTACGGAACCAAGCCGGTTGTTGATGCTTAGTGTGTATTTACAACATCAACATAAAAATAATAAAGATGATTAATAAAATAATAAAGTTTATTATTAAAAATAATAAAACGTACGTTTTGAACTTTTCACATCAGGCCATCTTCAGTGTCACCAAATAAATTAATATTACATACGTAAACATTCAACATTGTGTTCCAATGTCCACCCTACCAATAGTACATCAAATTTCTATAGACGCAACGTATTCGTATAATGATGTTGATGAATCTTCGGTGGTGCGACTCCATGTTCAGTACTATTCATATGCAGGGTTCGGTCGTATTTCAAATGAATTTATTTAAAATATATATTTTAAATAAAGGAGAAATTAGAAAGTTATTAAGTATTTATTATTTTAAACAACTTCTTCTGACCTACTTCTTATTCCATATTTTAAATAAGTTTGTGGAACTTATTTTTTATTTTTTATTTCGAATAAATCGTGTCACTCTTTTATCGATTACAATATTTTAAATAATTGAACAATTTTCTGAAACCTATTTTTTATTTAAAATAAATCATATCAGTTATCATTTTTATTTTATTTATAATAATTACTTATAATTACTATCAACTTAATAAGTAATATAATAATTACAAACTTATTAAGTTTATATATTCTTATTACTTAAATATTTATTTTCTTGCCTAATACTAAGTATAACTATAATAACATTAATTAGAGGCTATAGTTATAAAAAAATGGTAAAATCTGAAATGTTATAAACTTATAAATGTATAATCAAATGTATGTTCATATATCAAAATAAACAAAATTATTAAAATATTTTGAATTTCCTATTTAAAACGTTTATTTAAAATATATATCTTATTTTATATTTTGAGTTAATTTTTGAAATGTACTTTTTACTTAAAATAAAAAATAGATTTCGAGAACTTCTTTTAAATATAAGATAAGTTATTTTAAATAAATTTTCGAAAACAATTTCTTATTTCAAATAAGAATATTCTTTAAAAACTTATTTAAAATAAAAAAGCAAGCTATTTTGACATTTTAAATAAAAGTTATTATATATTTTAAATAAATAAGATACATTTCAGAGTCCTATTTCTTATTTTTTATTTTTAAAATTTTTTGCGACGTATTTCTTATTTAATATTTAACATAAATTTTTGGAACCTATTTTATATTTATCATTTCGAATAAGTCGTATCACTCTTTTATCGACTAATACGATTATATATTTAAAATAAGTTTCAGGAACTTATTATATATTTTATATTTTAAATAGGTCGTATCAGTTATTTTACCGAGCCCTGTTCTTATGTATAAAGAGATTCTCATGTATATGGTATCTTAACAAAATTACCTATTTAAAAAAAGGTAAAAAAAAGGCGCCAAGTGTGCACGTACCTTCCATAAAAAATTGTAATTTACATAAGCTAAAAAAAAACCGTTAAATAAATAATATAGTTCAAGTGGTAATGTTGTTAATTTTTTATTATAAATTACCCCTCAGTAGTACGTATGCATGTATTAAAAAAGAAATGAAATGAAATCTTTAAATTACGCCAATTGCAAAATGAATATATAATTTCTTGCAACATATAACATATATTATTGTATTTTGTAAATTGCGAAAAGAACATATATTTTATTGCAACATATAACATTTAATTAACGAAACAAATTGATACGTACCTTTATTTTTCTATTCAAGAGTCTTTTATATTTGTAATGGAATACAACTTTAATCTAAAAAAAATTAAAGACGAAGCATCACAAAATGAGAAAATTTTATTAAAATAAAATTTTTTATGTAAAAATACTTGGCGCGCTGCTAAACCTCAAAATATAATAAGTAAATGTTACATAAAAGAAATAAACAATGTTTACTGTTTAATTAACAACAATTAACATTAAAATTACAATCACAATTACAATTAAGATTATAATTAATTTTAAATCTACTTTTAAATTTAATTTAAACCGCACGTCTTACAAATCTGAAATCATTATTTCTATATTAGACTTATATGCTTTTACAATATATAACGCACACCACATAAATACGTATTCTATATTAAATCTAAGCTGCATACCTATCTAAATCTGATCGCACATATGAAAACGCTGTATATTACTAATTCTCTTTCTTAAATCTCTTCATTACTTTTCATATTTGGTATTTTTAATTATTTGCTTGTACGCACGCGCGTAAGCACGCACGACGGCACACACACACACACACACACACACACACACACACACACACACACACACACACACACACACACACACACACACACACACAGAGTATATTGTTAGTCCACCTCATTTTCTTACTTAATCTCTTCATTATTTTTTTTATTCAATATTATTTGATGATCATGTTATTATATATTTTGAGGTTTAGCAGCGCGCCAAGTATTTTTACATAAAAAATTTTATTTTAATAAAATTTTCTCATTTTGTGATGCTTCGTCTTTAATTTTTTTTAGTTTAAAGTTGTATTCCATTGCAAATATAAAAGACTCTCGAATAGAAAGATAAAGGTACGTATCATTTTGTC